GTTAGGAAAACATCAGGCTTGGTGTGTGGAACGTAAATGGTTGGTCTAAATATGAAAATTCTGATAATTCTAGGATTAGAGAAAGTGTTTTGAATTTCCTTAATTTGGATATAATTGGTGTTTGTGAAACCTTCTTAAAAACGATGATAATATTGAAATTAGTGGTTATCAATGGTATGGCCATAATAGAAAGTTTAAAAATGCCAAAATGAAGAGAGGCTCTGGTGGTGTGGGTGTGTTGATAAAAGATGAAGTCTTGGATAATTTCAGTGTTTCAATTCTTGATAGTTCATGCAGTGGAAGATATTTTGTGTATCAAATTATCACATAAATATGATGATTCAAATAATACATGGTTCTGTGTTTGCTATTTACCACCGGAGGGGTCAAGTCGTTTAAATGATGGTGAAAAATTCTATAATGATCTGCTAGAACAAGTTTATTGCTACCAAAATGAAGGCTTTGTGTATATTGGTGGAGATGTTAACTCTAGATGCGGTAGTGAGCAGGATTATATACAAGGTGTGGATGATATTAATGACAGAGAAATAATTGACGTTATTAATAACAAGTACGGTGATCTTCTAATTGACATTTTGACCAGTTGAACTTGTGTATGCTAAATGGTCGTGCTGATGGAAATAACGATTTCACTTGTGTATCAAAGCGTGGACGGTCAGTTGTTGACTATGTCTTTACACCTCATGAACAGTTAGACATGTGTACAAGCTGTGACGTGTATTTAATGTCTGATCTTATAGTCGATACTGGTTTGAACGTTGAGAAGTCCATCCCGGACCATGGACCAATAATGTGGACTGTAAACGTAAAGAAAGACATTGCTTGCGATACGAGTAAAATTGGACAAGCACCAAATACAGATAGACATATTGGTCTGAAGAACTTACCTCATTATGGAATAAAGTGTGTATTAAAGAAAAGCAGTGGTTGAAATGCAAAAACTGCACTAATCTGAGACGTAAACTAAAACAGGAATTTTGTAATATTCGTAATCAGTTCGATAAACTAAACGTAACTTTCAACAAAAGGAGCAGGATAATTTGACTAAACTGTTTCAAAGTCACAACACTCAGGACTTCTGGAAATACATTGGTTATATTGGTATTGCGAATGAACGTCGCCAAAACATTCCATTCAAAGTAAAAACAGATGACGGCTTTAGTAGTGATGTTGATGCTGTCCCGGACAAATGGAAAACAGATTTTGAAAAACTATTTAATTCTGGTGATAATGGTAACTTTGATAACAATCATTTAGGCTGGGTAAAAGGAAACAATCATGTTTTCTCGACTAGGAACTGTGACACTTTGAACTGCCCTGTGACGAGACAAGATGTCATTGACGCTGTAAATAGGACTAAATTGAATAAAGCAGTCGGCTTTGACTATATTCCTGCGGAAAGTTTACGCAATAGCATATGTATAGACCTGTTATTTAAACTTATTTCATTCTGCTTTCAAAATGGTAAAGTGCCTGATTTATGGTTAAATGGAATTATAAATCCTATTCCAAAATATGATAGTGGTTGTAAATTCGATCCTATGTCATATAGAGGTATAACTATTTTATCTATCCCATGTAAAATTTTTGCTGACATTTTGAATAAGCGTTTAAATAAATGGCTCAATGAAAATGAAATTTTATGTGATGAACAGAACGGTTTTCGAAAAGGTAGAAACTGTACAGATCATGTTTATGTATTAGATAATATTGTCAAAAGCAGAAAAAATGCAAAAAAGGATACATTTGTATGTTTTGTTGACGCAAAGAAAGCATTTGATACTGTTGATAGAGACTGTCTACTTTTTAAATTGAGAAAAATTGGTATTAGCGGTATATTTTTAAATTGTATTACTTCTTTATACAGTAATATCAATTGTGCAGTCAGAGTAAATAACTTTATAACATCCTTTTTTCCTGTTGCTCTTGGTGTAAAACAAGGCTGTATTTTATCGCCGACTTTATTTTCTATCTATGTAAATGATTTAGTCTCAGATATTAAAGAAGCAAATTGAGGTATTCAAAAAGATTACATAATGGTCTCTATGTTATTATATGCTGATGACATTGCATTGATTGCACCTGATACAGAGAAACTGCAAAAGCAGTTGGACATTTTAAACAAGTGGTGTGAAAAGTGGAGATTAACTCTAAATAAAAACAAAACCAAAATTGTTCATTTTAGAAATAAATCTATACAAAGAAGTAATTTTCAGTTCAAATGTGGTGAACTTTGTCTTGAATATGCAACTTGTTATAAATATCTTGGTGTACTTTTGAATGAATTTTCGGATTATTCAATAATTGCCAAAGAACTGTATAAATCAGCTAATAGAGCTCTTGGTGTTATTAAAGCAAAATTTTGTAAAACTGGTGGTATGAATTTTGATGTATTTACTAAATTATATGACACTTTAGTCAAACCCATTTTTACATATGCTTCCGGTGTATGGGGCATTAATATACATAATTGTATAAATAGTTTGCAAAACAATGCTTGTAAATTTTTCTAAGGCTTAAGCAAGAGAAGCAGCAATCTAGCTGCTAGAGGTGTTATGGGTTTTTTTTATCAGGTGATGCACTACAAAAAGTTGAAGTTTTTAAACTATGGAATCGTCTTAAATGTGACAATACCAGTAATATATGTAAAAAGGTTCATACCTGGGCGATTAGAAGAAAATCGTCATGGGATTATAGAGTTTTACAGGTAGCTCGTAAATATAGTTTGATTCAAAATGTAGAAGATGAAATTAATATGAGTAATGTATGGGATTCTATACAAACTTTTGAAAAAGAATCTTGGCATCATGAAGTATGGAATGATAAAAATAATGTCAATGGTAATAAATTAAGATTTTATAGATTGTTTAAAACTTGTATTGGTACGGAGCCTTATGTAAAGGTAGTTAATAATAGATGCCACCGACGTATTTTGTCACTTTTCAGAGTTGGTTCGTTACAACTTTAAGTTGAAACAGGTCGATATGCTAGACCACCAGAACCTCTACAAGACCGTTTATGTATTTTTTGTGATAGTGGCCAAATTGAAGATGAAAAACACTTTCTTTTTAGTTGTTGTTTTTACTCTGATATCAGACATGAATTATATGCCAAAGCCTGTCTTTTAAATGTTGATTTTGAGTATTTATGCGATATTGAAAAACTTCGTTATGTGTAATGAGAATATGGTTCCTCTTTTAGCTAGTTCCCTTTATTATATGTTTTACCGACGTAAACATGTCATCTAGAAATGATATATGTTTTTTATTTTTTTTATTTTTTTTTATTTACGAAATACTTTTTAAATGTAACAAAGTTGTCCTTTTATGTATGTATGAGATTTTTGTTTTAATGATAGTGTCTCATAAGTCGTTTTCGGCTGGCATTCTTTTACTAAATGTTAGGTTCTTATGACATTATGTGTATATATATAGATACTGTAATGGATGGTGACCCTTTAATAAAATAAATCTTATCTTATCTTATCTTATCTTATCATGGCAAAATTTAATTAAAATCCAAGCAACAGCAACATCATTACAGAAGCACAGCTTGGAGATCCAACGCTGAAGTACTGAAGGGTGGTTTAGTCAGCAATATTTCACAAGTAGCAGCCGGGCTATTCATAGTCTGCATAAAATTAAGTAAATTTCGCTCCAGTTATGTAACTGTACTACATAACTGTACTTTAATATGTTACCATGACGGATGGAGGTATGAATACTGGAGCCTCTGAAAATTGGATAAGAACAGCAGCAAACAAAACTCAATTTAACAGGGTCGGAGAGGATGGATCAAAATTTTACAACGTCTTTTCAGATTGGTTTTCAAAATATAAGTGACTATTAAAATGCACGAGTTTTACGACTTAACTCTCAAATACTCATATTAGCATAACAATAGCAATAAAGGACGACTCGATTACACGTATTTGTAAATGCAATGAACGAATTTAATTTTAATTTAATTAAATTCTTTTAAATTCACTGTATAATAAAATAAAGATGGACCATATAAATACGCATTATGAACGCAATATTGAAATATTGTTTTGAAGCTAATTTCAAATAGTGTGCTGATGCTAAATAAATGCCAAATGAAAGAGACAAGGACTACTTTTTGATAAACTGTTGCTATGATAACCAAATTATTCATTTTTTTAGTCAAATGGGTTATTTGTAAACTGAACAAAATTTCTTGTATAACAATGACTATAAGAACAGGAAAATTGTAAACACAGAATGAATCATCTGAACAACATAAACATCTGTTCTAACAACAGCCAAACACTTGCAATCATTTTCATTTTTCGAATTAATATCAACATTTATATATAATTTAAACACATGATTAAATTATCTGAAGAACTTGAACAATATTCATAATAAAATGTGTTACCTTTTAACTTTTATATTTAATGCGATCAACATTCTTGACAATCTCATATTCCGTTGTGATAAGGGAAAAATGAGCCATCACTTTTTTATATAGATACTTTATAACTTTTGTAGAATTATAATGATTCTGTTTCTTAAAGATAACTGTTTCAAGGGGTTCGTGTTGCTTTAGTTTTAAGTGAGGTTCTTAGTGTTTGTTAATTTCTCTATTTCGGTAACAGTTTTGTCTATCCTTTGTAATGAAAAACGTGTATTTATTTCAAAGTTAAAAAGAAGTCATTAAAAAATTAACATTGACCGATTGGTTTACGAATTTGGTGGTGTCTTAGGGTAAGATAATAGTCAAGTATCAATCTCCTATTGTGTGATTCCTAATCACTTATCCACGTATTGTATAGGAGTAATACGACGGACAAGGGCGTTCTCAGTTTGCCTTCGACTAAAGAGATAAATTATTACTTTGCAGGCTTTGGTACCATCCGTCTCTCTTCTTACAAGAAGATACAACAATTATGCAAATAAATAGAAAATTCGAATATCATAACTGCATTTTGTCAAAATAACGACAACTTTTTTTTGCAGATTTTCATCCTTAATTTACCAGCTGACCAACTCTTTGGGTGTAAGTATATCTGTTAATAGTGGTTTTCCAATTTTGGTTTGGATCATGTTCAGTGGTACGTACCTCAACCATATGTGTGGGTTTGGAGTAGTCACTGAATATATATAATTATCATATTCATCAAGATAAATAAAAAAAGGAAAAGTTAGATATAGAGATAAATTTGAAACAAATCAGTTCAAAGCAAACTGCCCAGTTTTAGAGCGCATTGTTAGAGCTTCTGTCACTTCTGTGTACTATTATTTACTAAGTGCACACGTGCATTAATCAAACATACCTTATACAGATGAAACCTACTTTTCGAATTTTACTCATCCTTAAGAATCTTAATATAGATTTGCCTTTCTTTTGTTTCTTCGTCTTCTGTTTATCATTGAATAAATAAGAAAAAGATTTTTTGAGAATAATGGAAAAATAAATTAAAGACTATTTCATTAACCGCTGCGTTTCACTATGTTACTGATGTTGTATTATCATGTCGAAATTCTGTTAATTTGTCAACAGTTTGTGTCTTTCTTGTATTCTAAAGCCCCAACCCTTTCTTTTCCGTAAAGATAGGAGAAAGGATGGGATTTTATATTTACTGTGATTTTGTTTATATGCAAAATCACAATATTATTTTTTTTTAACCACTTCTGATTTTTTTTTCTAGAAATGTACTAATAAATTAATGGACATTAGTTTAATTGATAATATAGAATCGGCTATTGTTGTCCAATAAAAACACCATGGAAACAAATAAAAAAAGTAAAAAAAAAATAAAATAAAAGGACAAACAAGAATAACAAAACATTCCATATTAAACCAAAGACTGAGCAACACGAACCCCACCGAAAACTAAGGATGAATTCAGGTGCACCGGGATGATATGAGTTCCTGATCCACTTGTGACGCAAGTCATTTTGCTCAAGTATAAATCGGGTAATAATACGCTTTCGGTAATGTCACACTCAAGAAAGGGAGGACAGTGTTGTCGTTAAGACAAGTGGAACATATCCGTAGTCATATGTGATACAAATATTCCATCACGGTCAACCAAACCATGATGGCGTCCGTAAAACTTTCGAAGGAATAGCTTCAACTAAACAACTTTGAACCTTTGATGCAATAGCTTCATTGTAGCAGTAACCATCTATTAAGCAAATCATGATAAGAAACGAAGCACTGGATTATCGTATCCGTATGTAGGCGCTGCTGAAATATTGCTACAAAGAAATGAAAAATTCATTATTTTAAGTTCATTGGGATAGATGCAAACAACAATGTCACCAAATCTTGAATTATTCATCTAAATGGCGGAAAGAGAAAGTAAAGAATAATGACAGCTTCTTTTCATTAGTCTTGAGAAGCTCTTGTATGAAAAACATGTCCGCCAAATGTAACAAATATGTTGTCAGCTTCATTGAATTTCATGCTTGAATCAGAGTGGTTTTCTTTAAGTATGATTTGTTTCTTCCTAAAAAAAAATCATTCTGCGTTGATCATTCTGTTTTCTGAAACAAGTTGAACCAAATCTGTCTCTAAATTTAGAACGAAGAATGATAGCGTGAAGAGTATAAAAGTCAAATATTTTCATACTATTGCATGAAGAGAGGGACTTTGATTGTACGCGTTTTTAAAATCATTTGATATTTTTAGTATGCACATCTGATTCACACCATTCCTAGAGTTGGTTGTTTCACAGTTACTCTGTATACTGGTAATGGATACTGGTAAGATAGATATTGATAATTTGGAAAGATGTTTCTTTTGTACATAATTCGGCAGACCCAGCAATATATCGTTGTGTGTAAGCAAACTTGAATAATTTGGGTATCCAGTAGAGTGGGGGATATTCATTTCTTCATCTATGTTTAAAATTAAAGTCTTACAAGGCAAACAGGTTTTTTGTGGCATGCTACATGCTTTTCATATAACTACGTCCTCACGGTATCAGTTCGAACTTGAAAATTAGAATGTTATCATCTTTTAATGATTGTTTAAAAATTATGAATGTTATACTAACGTTCACTCAGTTTATCACAGTGTTTCCCCTTCTTTTATCTTTTAGGTTAAAAGAGTAGATGCTTATGTTTTAGTTTATATACCCACATCATTATGTTATGTGATATTAATTGGCTATTTTCTGTACACGTCAGTTCGTCAAACCTATAGTTTTGTCAGACGTCTTAAACATGATACAGATAATGAGGTAATAAATCTTTATTGTATATTAACAAAACACTATTTTTGAATGTCATCCTCTCGTGCAGACAGTTCAAAAATCGATAAGATTTAAATTTTACGTGACGGCTTCAGGTATTTTTCATAGACTGACAACATAAACAAACTATATCTTGCTACACTTTTGATATTTTTCTAATGACTGTAACGATATTATGTTCATGAAGTCATATTAAACAAGAAGATGTGGTATGATTGCCAATGAGACAACTCTCCACCCAATGAGATAGAGGTTAATAACTATGTGTCATCGTAAAGCCTTCAACAGTGAGCAAAACACATACCGAATAGTAAGCTATAAAAGGCCCCGAAATGACAAATGCAATACAATTCAAACGAGAAAACTAACGACCTGATCTATGTACAAAACAATAAAAGAAAAAAAAATATGATTTATAACAACAAACGACAACCACTGAATGTGTATGTGTCTAACAACGCTGACGTTATACATATATTCTGGGTAACCATGTCGTTCCGAATGCATTTAAGCTCTTTGAATTTATTATCCAATTTACATAAATGGTATCTTACCGTTTCGATATTTAAACAGTTCTTTTAATTATATCAGGGCTCCAAACCATGCACAAGCAAGCTGCAATATAATTATGTAAAATGGTTATTGAAAAACCCAGAACGCGACATTGAAACACGTACAGACACAGGGTTGAAAAGGTAAGAATTGGAAGTGCCTTTTTTTAATAACAATCTTGAAATATTCACAAAAACGTGACAGGATAAGTATTGCAATAGTAAGGAGTCACATTTTGATTTATGATAATAATATTTTAGTACAACTTATACTGGATCCACTTGTTAGACAATACAAAAGTAAAACAAAAACACCGAACTCCAAGGTATATTCAAAAAGGGTGAAGTTCATAAAAACTGACAAAATCTAATGCGTGTCGTTATCAATCAAGAGAACTAATGTTAAACAACCGTAATATTCCTGACTTTGTTCAGACATTTTGATGGTTAAACCTGGTTTTATAGCTAACTAAACATCCCACCTGTATGACAGTTATTTATAGTTCCGTTATATTGAAAATTTGGGTAAGCAACCCAAAAAGACACAATAGGTTAATGTGACAATAATTGGAATCAAGCAGCCAAAACTGTTTTAATATACATTACAGACATACAACAAAACTAACTAAAAAAATCAAACAAATAAATCAAACAAAGACGCCAACAAAAACATTTTTGTAGTGGATAGTAAATTTGAAAAAGACGCCATAGTCTGATTAAGGATAACATTATTTACAGAAATAGGGTAGGTAGAAAGGTAAGATTATTTTATTTTACAAAACTATTTGATGTAAACTAAATAGGGGCGCATTTTAGACATGAACGTTACACGAACAGTAATCCAAATTTTCTATGCAGCCGACTGTTTTTTTTTTAACAAGGATGATTTATCGAATGGAATGATTTATATAAATTTATGATAAAACAAGCATTCTGAGAGTATTGCATGGCAATACATAGTCCTCTACTGGGTAAAAATTCATTATACTGGAACAAAGTGCTAACTTGTTCTATAACTTGTCATGGTGTAAACAAAAAGTAAATATCATGTCAATATCTTCAAGCATGACTGAAAACAGTGTGGAAAACTGATTATATGAGTGAATTTTTCAAGTCCAAGGACCATAACTCTGCACAAAATCATTAGACCGAAACAAAAATTTGAACTTGATCTGTAACTTGTCATGATAAAACAATATACCAATTATCAATCAATATCTTATAAGCATGATGAAAAAAACATTAAATATGATTAATAGTTCTCTGAAATTAGATATGATGTAATACAGTGTATATCTATATTCAAATTATAATCAAATATAATTAATAGTTCCAAATATTTTTTCTTTCATTTGTCACAAACTAATATAGATTTGTAACTTATCTATAAAATATCAACAACTTTTATCTACACAATGTAATGTATTGAAATATATACATTAATAAAAATAGATTATTATCTAATTAAAGGATTTCTCCTCATAATTTTTTTATATATATATATAGCATTCAGAAAATTAGTTTATACTAAATAAAAAACAAACCTTCCAAAAAATTCTTCAAATAATTTAACAAAGAATGTCTTTTAAAAAATGAGTTATCTCCCTTTGTACAGAGATATGGGTTAACATAGTACTCTAACATTAGAAGTGGTCCACAGTTATGGTCCATAACTCTGAACTAAATCATCAGACCGGAACAAAATTCGAACTTGATCTATAACTTTTCATGATAAAACTATATACCAAATATCAAATCAATATCTACAAGAACGAAGAAAAAAGTGTGGAAAGCTGATTTGCCGGACTGACGGATGGACAGACGGACGGACGGACAGACGGACAGACGGACAGACGGACGGAGTGCAAACCTAAAGTCCCCTTCGACTTCGTCGGTAGGGGACTAAAAATTCTAACACCATGATTAAAACCTGCCTTTAGATAATATCACCGGTACATTGATATTTTCATGCAGACGACGTTGTTTTGATCCAAACACTGCATATGTATTTTAACGTTATCTAAATCGGACCATTTTGGAACCAAAATGTAGGCAGTATCTACAATATGTAAAGCTCTTAATCGGCATAACAAGACTTTCAAATATGTGTGCCATCAACATCAAACTCTCAGAACGACATAAAAAATTCAGATTTGACAAAATAGAAGCACTGATGAGTTTGTTTTTTTTTAACTTGGGACAGATGCATGAACATGTGCGGGTTAAACTAGTTTTTCGATATCTCAAATCTACCCCTTTAAATATTGACGAATGGAATAACATAAACATCATAAATCAGTATTGAAAAAGGATAGTACTTCAGCCATTTTTATTTAGTGGCTTATTTCCGTGACAGAAAAAAAAAAACTATTAACATATATAAGTATCATCATACCTCTTTTGTACTTATTTTGTTAACTGCCTTAATAAAAGTCAGTTACACGAGTTCACAATAGCACCATTCCATCAGAGAACAAAACCAGGTATACTCATAGAATTGAATCAAATTAAATCACAATATTTTACACGTTAGTTGTAGCCATTTTTAGTCCTGAATATCTTTATATATACCGAAATATTTTCAACGTCAAAGCCTATGATAAAACTTAAACACGTATATAAAATATAAATGAACAATAGATAGAACTTACGTACATATTAAGTAAATGTTCACTACATATTTTAGAATGTTGGAAAATTTTTCAAGTCAAAATGTAGAGTAAAGTAATAATTTCTAAAAGCTGAATGTACAATTTGCTATTTAAGGATAAATAAACAATACCCTTATTGGAAGACTCAAAACAAGTCAATGCCAGTACTATCAATGTTCTTGTCTAGCGTCAATGGTTATCGATGTATCTTTTTGTTTAGGTCAATCCAGGAATGCAGTAAAAATATAAAAAACAAAATTGGTGTGAGGTCTCCTCTACATGCTTCACCCAGAGTAATTGCAACATTTGTTGTAGCAGCAATTGCTTTATTTCAGGTAAATTGATTAGATTTCCCTCCAATTATTCTGGAGCTGAATTAATCTTGAAGTTAACAGTAAACAAACAAAAAGCAAAAATAGGAGCATTTTATAGCTTACTATGCAGTATGGGCTTTACTCATTGTCGAAGACCATACGGTGACCTATTGTTGCTAACTTCTACACTATTTGGTCTCTGGTGGAGAGTTGTCTCATTGGCAAATATACCAAATCATATTTGTATATTGACGGCAGGGTTTGTTGCTCGTGCTGTGTGGATGCAGTAGAATGTGTCCCCGTGCCTGTGGAGTATGCCCTTATATTTTACAGTCAGGGTTTTGTTTGTGAGAGAGCTGTCTACAAAGGTCTTTTATAGCTTAGTATGTGGTATGGGTATTGCTCATTGTTGAAGGCCGTACGGTGATCAACAGTTATTAATTTATACGTATAAGTTTTATAAATTTACACTACGATATTTTTTATTCGTCTTTACTTGTGTGGTTCAATAAAGACTAATGATAAGCGATCATTTCAATTCCTCAGCTATTTTGTGTTATGTTGTTTACTGTTGATAAACTTTTCTTTTTTCCTTTGTTTATGCTGTTGTGTGCGTCCTTCTTCAACTTATGATTTTGATTGCCCATATGGTATTTTCTTACTTTATTTAATAAACAAATAATATATGGTTTGTATTAACAATGTCGTTAAACAAGAAAAAAAAACACCACCCAAACAATGGAAATCATTGTTGAAAGGGATTTTATGTAAAGGTAAAATGAAAACGCGTAGTTTTGCATTGCAGTAAAGTAGTCATTTCGATGGGATATTATTCGTTTCAAATTTAGACTACAGTAGTTAACCGATGTTCAACTCTCACAATCGATTTCAGTCGCTCATAACTCTGTAGAAGCAGTTTTCTCAATTGAATTGTTTCATATTTTTCATGTCGGGACCTTTTATAGCCGACTTTACAGTATGGGTTTTCTCATTGTTGAAGGCCGTACGGTTGCCTATAATTGCTTACACGTATAAGTTGATATATGCAAACGCCATATTACGGGGAAAAGGGTATGTTACTGCCGATAAATTGATTATTGAAGGGAAAATTGAATCATCATGCTTGTCATAGATTCTAGTTTAAAGTCGTCCATCAATGTCAATATCGATTAGAATATCAAAATACGAAGCAGACATTCTAGTTTCTGTAGTATCCTTAATCTCATGTTCACTTGAATATGAGATGCAAGCACTTCTGTAGTCTATAAGATCAAATGCACGACGTATGACTTATTGTTGAAGTGTTTTATACAATTTGATAAATATTGGTAATATGATTAAACATTTTTTTTAGGTTGGCATGGATCTGCTCACTAGTTATATCTTCTATCAACCTGGACTTCAGTTTACCACATTCTTCAAACTGAAATTCTTCAACACATCTGGAGAAGCATTTTTACCTGAAATTGAAACATTTTTTATTGTTGCAGATGGTATATATATTTATCCAATGCAATGAAAGTATTATTCAACAGTACATATACACACTATTTTGCCAATCAAATTGTGTTTACCGACCCCCTAAGGGAAGTTAACCTATTTTTAATCTGGTTTTTATTATTTTTACGTCCTTTTTGGTCACATAGCTCTTCAGTAGTTTCGGTTCTTATACATCCTTGGCTTTCAAATATTCGACTTTGAGCGTTACTGATGAAGGTAAATCCAGAAACGCGCTTCGGAAGCATGAAATTAATAACATGTTGTTTCATTTTTGATTAATGAGTTGCTTACTTTTATATACATAAAGAAATTATTTCACAGACTATGTTGTTATATTAGAGAGGATAATTCAAGCATCATATTCAGATATATAAATCGCACCCGATAGTTATTCCTACCCAGAAAATCATTTACTGCATCTAACAGAAATAAAGAGAAATAAACAAAAAAGAATCGATGCAATTTGTACACAGGCCTGTTAATTGAATATAATGAATGTGTTTAGGTAGTTAATTTCAGTAACTTTTAACTGTCAAAAGCTTCGCGCATGGCATAATAGGCCTTGTTTACCTTCTTGAATAAAGACTTATTAAGGACAGTATTATTGCCCCTAAGCTATGTCAGTATATTTACCGAAATTGACTATAGGCTTTGACAAACGTGAGTTAATTAATTGAGAGATTATATATCATATACAGATGAATAATTTATTTGCTGGTCACGAACCCCGCAACATCCCTCACTCCCCGTTTTCAGCTATCATTCTTCCCAAACAAAACGTTTTAAAACACCTTTAACATCTTAAAGATAAAACAAAACAGAAATATATTATACCTACAAATTTATTTCATGAATCCTGTTTTTTAGCTGGTTTTTACACATCAATCTCTCTGTCCAGCATATTCATGGTCGTTTATATCATTGCTATCTTCATCAGTTATCGTAAAGATCTAGAAAAAATGCAAAGAGGAGACTACACATTCTTGCCAATGAAACTCAGAAAGAGCTTAAATGACAATCTAGTGGTAAGTGCAATAATCACATAATGAAAAAGTACATAGTCTTTGTTGAATTATTTACAACATGTATATATTCGGGGTGATTAATAGCCTCTATATTGTATAGACAATTGTCTATTGTTGAAGATCGTATGACATTATCTAGATTTATATTGGGTTGATGTCTCATTGATGTGTATCATTTTATTATTCATATTTCCGATAACAAATTTAAATGCAAATCATATTAACGAGGTAAAGGAAAGATACTTGTCAATGTGATATCTTTGCAGCATTTCGGGGACTGTTATCAACTCCACTTAATTTTAATATCTTAACTCCATACATATGATTAATTGATGGTGATAAGCACCACCTTCAGCACTTTAGGTAGTTTTTAATTGGTGGAGGAAGCCAGAATACCCGAAAAAACTACAGGACTTCGGCAGAAAAAACTAGCAATCCTAATTCAAATAAGATCGGCGTTGATGATCGGGTTTGAACTCATAACCTCAGGGCATATGTGTTGCAGTCAAACTGGTTTAAGTTTACATTTTCAGCTTTTGGATGGTTTAAAACCGGTTTAAATGCTTCGAAACTAATTTTTCAACCTCTGATATTGTTTTGTCCAACTGTTCAACCCACACGAGGAGGTTACATAATTTAAGGAAGCCGGTTTTGGTTTTCAAGAAACAAATGTGAGACTATTTTTGATTTCGAACTTGTTTTGATTTGAAGGAACAAATAGAAGGTTTATCAAACATACATCAGAAACCAAAACCATTTTTGAAGCAAAAAAAAAAAAAAAAAAAAAAAAAAAAAAAAAAAACGCGCTCGGTGTTGACAGGCTAGTGGTCAATGTGGATGAACTACTTATATAAAAATAAGGAGATGTAGTATGATTGCCAATGAGACAACTATCCACCAAAGTTCAAATGAAGCGGATGTAACCAATTATAGGCAACCGTACGGCCTTCAACAATGACAAAAACCCATACCGTATGGTCGGCTATAAAAGGCCCCGACATAAAAAATATGAAACAATTCAATTGAGAAAACTAACGGCCTAATCTATAACAAAACAATTTACGAAAAACAAATATGACAGACATGAACCAACGACCACCACTGAACTACAGGCTCCTGACTTGGGATAGGTACATAAAGAATGTGGCTGGGTTAAATATGTTCGTGAGCGCTCAACCCTCCCTTTAACCTGGGACAGTGGTGTAACAGTACAACATAAGAACAAACTATAAAAATCAGTTGAAAAATGCTTAACTCATCAGATGGATATTAATAGAAAAACATCTAACAAAAACACAGAGTGGACGTGGACGGGTACTTATATATCCCAAAAACGAAAAAGACACAAGTACAGATCTGAGAGTAATCGCAGTTACTGACAGCTAGTTCAAAGCCAATAACAACTAATGAAAAAAATCATGTATCTAAGACTAAAATATCAATCAGTACACATCCAACATTCAATAGATTTATTGTAAATACGTCATTAACAGTCAGAGAAAAACAGGACCTTGTCCAATGCCAAACTATAGGTATCGACAGATTGTAGTACCGTGAAAGTACATATGTGTAATATTTAGTATGGTTTAATTTACTGATAACAAAATCAATATTTATACCAATAAAAACAATATTCAAAGATTTAATTACAGTGTTGAATAGGTAACCTTTTAGAATAAGTTTATTTAAAGGATTGATAAGTTTACCTTGATCGTATCTAAATTTTTGGGCTCGGTTTACAACATCACCGTAAAATTTATAATGTGTTATTCCGTTTGAAATAAGTTTTCTACAGGTACAGCCAAACTTGCAGAACAAATCTTTGTATCTATGAAAGAATTCAGTAAAGGTTTTAAGTAATTTGAGGTAACGAAATCCCTGACTTAATAATTTACTAGTAATACATAGATTATGCTCATTAAAATCCAAAACGTCACTACAGACACGGGCATAACGAACGAGTTGGGATATATAAACACCGTAGGACGGTGCCAAAGGAGCATCACCGCCCAAAAAGGGAAAATTAACAATAGGGAAAGAAAAATCATCCCTTTTGTCGTAAATTTTTATGTAGAGTTTCTGGTGTAATACTGAAATATCTAAATCTAGGAAAGGACAGTTATTGCTGTTGATATTAGATTTATTTAAAGTAAGTTCCTTTGGGTAAATTTCATCAGTATAGTTAGAGAATTGTTGATTATTTAACGAAAAATATCATCAAGATAACGGTAAGTGTTGTTCAATTGATCTATTAAATGGAATTTAGACGGTTTTTTACTGAGTTTGGCCATAAACTGTGATTCATAACAGTAAAAGAACAAGTCTGCTAATAAAGGGACACAGTTGGTGCCCATAGGAATACTTACAATCTGTCGATAAACTTTTTTGCCGAAACGTACATAAATGTTATCAAGGAGAAAATTTAGTGCTTTAACCATCTCATCACAGCTCCAGTAAGTATATCTAGCATATTTACTTTTCTCATTAGAGAAAACGGCTTTATATGAGTTGCAGCAAATAAACTTGCAACCAGATTTATCAAACGACCATTCAATTAGATAGGAAAACTTTTGTTTGATAAGATTGTGTGGAAGTGTAGTACAAAAAGTGGAAAAGTCAAAACTGTCAACCGATTCAAAAGGACCATCAAAAGCACGTAATTTATCTAAAACATCCAAAGAATTTTTTACACTCCAAAAATGGTTAATTCCAAGGTTTTCATATGTTTTCTTACAAGTTAAGGAACTCGTTAAAAGCACCGAAAGATTAGTAGTAGAAAACTTACTAGAGGCCGAAATGAAACGATATTTTACGGGTTTTTTGTGTAGTTTAGGTAACCAATACATAGTGGGGACCTTCAAATGTTCCGAGGAGGCCTTAGGCTGAGCTGTGGCAGTGACATGATTATTTACTATATGACTCTCTGTGGAGCGTACGGCCTTGAATGTAGTTGAATGTATAATTTCAATCATACGGACTTCCGTGTAGTATTTACGTCAAACCACCACCACATTGTTGGCTGCTTTGTCGGCCGGTACGAACACAAAACGCTTTGATAGTACTTGAATTTTGTTTTTAATCCTAGAAATGGGCGTATTACTTACTCTTCTATTCATTTCTAAATTATTTTCGAAATGTGATATACGAATATCTACAATATTCATACATTTAGATATGAATCAAGTGACTTTTTATCAGACTTCTCTCGTTCACACCATTTTTTTTACAATAGGATGAAAGAGCATCTTTAATAACCTGACGACACTCTTCCCAATTTATTTTCGACAGTGGACGATATTTTGGTCCCTTTTTCAGAAAGTTTATAACCTCTCGGTCTTGAACGATGTTGAGGTCCCTGTAATTACATGGCCATAGGGATCATACCTTAACTTCGACGTTTCACAGTCTCATGTTGAAGGAGCATTATTTTCTATACTGACATCTTATGTAACTGACGTATAATTAAAAATTAAACTTCCACTAGTTTTTTTATACGAATAAGAAATTATAGGTGGCTCAATTGTATTTAAATAAAATCAATACCTCTATTAACTTCCGAGGTCCTCCATTCATATTGAGGTTGTATACTAAATATTACAGTAATTACGAAATTTGAAAACTGTTAATTTAAATCAAAATGAATATACCTGTTATGTGTATTCAATCAATAGGGTTATAATCAGATACTTACATTTTAGAAAATACTTGCGTTCATTGTGGAATGTATATAATTTTTACTCGAAAAAAAAAATAATGTCTACTCCACAGGTTGTGTCTGCAAATTCGATTCGGTTCCATTATGATTTATTTTACGAACCATTTTCCTCCTATCAAAAACGATTGGACTTAATAAATGTTACAAGCTCCAATCGACTGAAGCTTGTTAACGAGTAATTAGTGAACAAGATGATAACTCGTCTAAATTAACTTGACTTAAATCGGGGGTGGAAATGCCAACTTAGAATTTAGTTTGGGGCAAGAACAGCAATAAGGGCCCTTATACATTGATATAGCCTCCTACCATCTCCAATGTTGAGATTAATTCTTAAGACTTGATTTGATAAGGATACGAATTACATTATATGGGCTGTGCTTTAACTATTTCGGGGAAGTTCAAGTTAACCTTGATGAAAAGCACTTAACTGTCTATGCTTATAACACATCTGATTTCATACTCTTGATTATTCACCTTTTCTCTTTTAAGGCATCAAGTTTACGATATTCCGGGGTACAGATTGCATTCTTAATATGGTGTAAGTTAACGTAATTGTAATTGAAATGTAAGCCATTGCCTTTCAACGAAATAAGTTAAGCATTTTAGTAAAGGAAAAACAATATTTTTTAGTTACGAATCCTATTCAAGAAAGAAAACAATCTAGGAAAGATACATTTTCAACACCGAATACCGAATTCTTTGAAGTCTTGACACCAAATGTGCAGCATAACATGTCAAAACCGATCAATTCTAAAAAATAATTGTTAGAGTAATGCATGTCTAGTTTTATCACAGTTGTCACATTAGAAATTGATAACATCATGTTTAACCCCGCCGCAGTTTTGCGTAGGAACCGCTGGCCTTTATTAGTGTTGTGTGTGTGTGTTTTTTTTTATTTAGGTTCATTTGTATGTTTCTGACTTTAATTCATTTGGCTGAACTTGTTTACCAAATTTTATAGGGCAAACTGAAGCCCTCTCCCGGATGCGAAATTTTCTCGCTACGTTGACGACCAATTGGTGGCCTTGGGCTGTTTTACTGCTCTTTGGTCGGGTTGTTTTCTCTTTGACACATTCCTCGTTTCCATTCTCTATTCTACATTAGCTGAAAAAAGTTTGAATTTTGGGTGCTCTACATGTGACTTTTAACTTCTAATTTACAAATTAAAAAGTGTTCACCTAGTAGAAATTAATTGTTCTAGTCATTTAAAAAGCATTCATTTAAAATGGAAAGTCGAAACAAACAACAGACTCAATAAATAATTATATTTAGAACGCAAATTATAGAGTTGACAGTTGAATCCGTGAAAATATCCAAATTTAGATCATTCTTCCATTACGCAGATTCCTTGTAGGTACCCAACCAGAGGAAAAGCATTGCGATGACCCAATGATTGTATTTTTTAAAATAAAATCCAAAATTAAAACCGCTAAAGTTACGATGTAGAAATAGCCGACGATTTATCAACAGAATTGACCTTTGATGTCAAGTGGTAATTAATACGAATCGTTTATTGAATGCTAGTATGATACGGTTGACGCTTTCGAAAGCGCTAGTGAAACAAAAGGCGGTTGTATCAATGAAAACACTCACTTGCCGGGATCGAACTTGAATCAGGAGACTGTTGCATGTGCTATTAAATGCCAGGAACCATGCTCTTGTTTTGAATAAATAAAAATTGCGTACAAATGTACATTTGACTTTCGACAATAGCGTACGATTTAATCTGCTTTTGCTGTAAATGCATAATTTTGCGAAATATTTCTGAGATTAGTCTCGATTTTATCTTATGATTAGGAATTTTCTTGCTTCTGTGTGTTGAATTCATAGCGCCACATGGTCACATTTGTCCTCGGAATGCAGTATTTGTGATGCCATGCCTCTGATAGTTTGAGGTAGTTTACTATGGATATGGGGTAACATCAACGTTAAACTTAATACACATGTTCATTATGGTATGCCCTTTATAAAATATTGAACATCCGTTCTTTAATCTACGTCATATCTGACATAACAGTTTTAAATAGAAGCCCAAAATCTATGTCCTCTCATCGACGTCTAATTTTAACGACTTGTATTACCAATCCTATTGGAGTTTGTCCCAATCGAAATCCAATATGACCCAGTTCTGTTGTCATCGTCTTTGTCTTGATAGATAGCATGTAAAATCATAGTATGGTGACTGAACTGACTCATGAAAAGAACGGACAAGGAGAAAACATCTCAAGCCACAAGAAGCAACTAAAACAAAATAAAGGATGGATATGGGATACATGCCAATGACGTTGAAAAGACATCAATATTTAATCAATCGTGGTTAAGCTTTAAATATTTTAACGGAAAAGTTCTGAATTTTGAAATCAAAATCGCAGGACCCAAACCAAAAGCAAACACAGCAGCATATACAGCAACAAGACATCGATATCCTTTCTTTGATCTTGGATGAAGCCCTGAGAAACTATACCTTGACGTCATACACTAACACAATATTCAGTGATAATCAGCAATAAAACCGTGTGACACTATCATATATTTCAGGGGCACCCTTGTTTAAGATTAAACAAAATTTATTCAAAATGAATTGAATTGAAATGGGAAACAGGCAAAGCCTTTGCAAACACTTACCACACAACAAGGTACAATAGATGACATGAAGACAAGACAACACACAATTGTTTATTTCAAAACTATATCATTGCTGGCTTGAAGAATGCTTTCTTCTAATAACTAACTTATAATACTATGCATAATAGGTTAAGTAAAAAATAATATACGAGCATATGTAATATATGAAGTACGTATTTAAAAAAACTATAATTTTAATTTATTTCAGGTTACATATTGATAATACTGATGTTATGGATACTTTGCTTTATGATTGCCTACATTATAATTTTGCCTTTAGCTGGAAAGATTCCATTTTCGTTTTTTGAGCCAGTACTTATTATTCTGTGAGTATAAGTTCAATGGAGAAATTTTAGATTTTGTTTCCAGGTTTATCATACATAACATGTGGCTTAATGATTGTTCTGACAGTCAAAGAATGTGTTCAATGCATAATGTATATATTTTATGCCCTGGAGGGAAGCCCAGGATAAATAAATTGGTTCTAGTTTCGCCGTCTGAGGAGTACGACTCCCCCTTAAGTATCGTCCTTTTTACTGTGGGGAATGTTTAAATGCGCAGTCACGTTCGGTTGGAATGGGGGCGTTTAAACTGATGACGTGTTAGGAGAGTGACACGATATACGCACGTTCAGAAAAACTTTGAACACATCTTTGAGGGGTCCTTTGGTGTTCTGTTTCGATATGAACTGTCTACACTACCGAACGTACCTTTATTTTACAGTAGAAGTCAAAATTTTAGGAACTTTATCCAGGTTGACCAACTGTACAGAATCTAGCCTTTTATTAATTGTTAAGGTGTCCTCGGGCTGAAAAAGCATGGGATATTTGTAATTGGACGTTAGGGAAGCAACAATCAAACAATCATACTCTTTATCAAGACCCTTTTACACATCTTTAGTCAAATAGCTGACCAATATTTGAGAAAAAAAGTTTTAGTTCGTTCTAAGCTTGTGTGCAAAGCGTTCATGAATATTGTTTTTTTCCCCATTAATTTGCCAATTTTATTTGCTTTCTATACAAAAGAGGGACGAAAGATACCAGAGGCACAGTCAAACTCATAGATCGAAAACAAACTGACAACGCCATGGCCAAAAATAAAAAGACAAACAGACAAATAATAGTACAGATGACACAACATAGAAAACCAAAGACTAAATAAAGAGCAATACAAACCCCACCAAAAACTGGGGGTGATCTCAGGTGCTCCGAAAGGGTAAGCAGATCCTGCTCCACATGTGGCACCCGTCGTGTTGCTTATGTTATTACAAATCCGGTAAATAGTCAAATTCGTTCACTTATTTTGAAAGAATTCAATCAGTAATTTTCAGATAATAAAAGAAATAAATGTATTATTTTTTTCGATTTTCTGTTATAGTCAAAATATGATGCAAAATTTTAGAAAAATCTGTGACATAGCCCATTTACTGTAACTTGACCTTAAAAGCAAAGATGTACTGAAACATTGCTTGTTGCAGTACGAACACTTCAAACGTAACATACATTTAATATATTGTATAGCAGCGCTTTTCTGGATGCGAATTCAAAAATGCTTTAAGAAAACGTTTGAAACGCCAAAGAAGAAAAATGCATTGTAAGAAAAAAAGCAGAACAGCCAAACTAAATTCAACTTAGTCTAAGTGGGGAGGGAGAAATATTTATAGAAATGTGACATACAATTTGAAATAAACCTTATTGATAATGGCAAAGTTTGTACACTTGATATGAAGATGGTCACCATCGATGATGTACACTCAAAAGAAGGTATTCAGAATCGAAAGATACTTGCTCAAACACTTTAATTTAGTACTCAGCAATTATATCAGATGCAGTTCAATATCTCATCAAACGTTTGAAAAAAGAAGGAAATTGTTTTTTTTATCTTTAAGTCCAAAAGTCTAGACAAAATCGAATGTATATCATCCAGGAAAAAATCCTCAATAAATTCAAGGAGGACTGAGGAATAAAATCTGTCATTTCCATCGCGAATTTTTCTAATGGCTGTCGTGAGAGAAATTCTATGAAAAAATAGGCCAATAAGAGCAAAAAACGTTCGTTATCTGTAATTACTTATTACAAAACGATATACTAAAATCAAGTGAATTACAGGGAAGGCGATTCAGAATTTGAACTGCTTTACACTAATGGTCTGTTTATATTAACTATAACTAGGTCGATCAGCGGATGAATTAATTTTTAAATTAGTTATAACGATAAAACATATGAAAATGTTGACCATTTTACCGAGTAGTTGATTTAGCACTCTTAAGCATTGACTTTCGTAAACTTTTTAAGCAGAAAAAAAAAATGCACCAAAATTTAAGGTTACAATCTTATTGATTCTTCATAGCTTGCAGCTTAAGGTAATCGAAAGGCTTTTTACATAAAAAAAAACTGGACGAACCCAAGGATAGTCTAGGCAATGATTTTCTTTCTTTCTCTTTGTAAACTCACAACCTGTTCCTTCGCTAACCAGAATATATTTCGATGTAAAATGCTGACTGAAACTATATGATTTTTTTTATAAAATGAGATTTTGCTTCGATATCAAGAATATACAATTTACAATACATAAAGGAAAATCACAAAATATATAAAGCTTATATAGGGGTTATAAGAACAAATCTAAATAATAAAACACTAATCCAAGGTACAACCACTTAAATTGAAAGGGGTAACATAGCAAAACAAAAACACAAAACGAACAAATCAGAACCGATTTAGATGAGAACGGAGCGACGACCAGCCGTTTCTTTTTTTGTAAAAGAAAACATACTGTAGTATATGAATAAGAAGATGTGGTTTGAGTGCCAATGAGACAACTCTCCATCCAAGTCACAATGTTTAAAAAGTTAACAATTATAGGTCAAAGTACGGCCTTCAACACGGAGCCTTGGTTCACACCGTACAGCAAGCTATAAAGGGCCCCAAAATGACTAGTGTAAAACGATTCAAACAGGAAAACCAACGGTCTAATCTATATATAAAAAACGAGAAACGAGAAACACCTATGAACCACACCAACAAACGACAACCACTGATCAACAGGCTCCTGACTTAGGACAGGTGCATAAATATTCAGCGGGTTTAAACGTTTTAACAGGCGACAACCTTCACCCTAACCTGACACAGTAGTGTAACATTACAACATAAAAAGGCACACTATAAAATATTAATTGAAATGACTTAACTCGATCAATGTTCATAATGTATTGTTGTGAAAACAACGATTTATATGGTCCTAAACGATTTCGACCAAGGATCACATAATTTTTGATAATTTCTTAAAGCCGTCGTGTTGTAATGATTACACAGCCTATCTATGTCTACGTGTCTTTTGTTATTTTGTAGACCGTTAGTGATGATGAATTTCGGCTTTAAGAAACTGCAAGTCTTTTTATCAAGAACATTCTTCCAACAAGATTTTACTGTTATTATGTCTAAAGGGTTAAAAACTCAGAAAGCTCTTGCATTAGACAATCTGTAAGTATTTCAATTATTTGATTTAATGTATTCATAGCTGATATGAATAAGTCACAAAACTATGAGTCGATTCTAGTGAAATTTTTGTCTTTTTTGTGAATATTCAGTGGATCCAATGGCAAAAAGAAACCGTAAATCAAAATAGATAACAAAAAGATTAATGCCAAGAAAAGTAAAAAAACAAGAATCTACATACAATAACCAAAATTATAGAAACTGGCGATTGAATAATACGAAACCTACTAATTAACACGAGGGAAATCATGAACTTTGAAAGGATAAACACTTCCTGTTTCATTTTCTATGCAAAAGAGAGGCGAAAGATACCAAAGAAATATTCCAACTCATAAGTCGAGAAGAAACAGACAATGCAATGGCAGAAAACGGAGAACGACCAAAAGACAAACAACAATACACAAAACACAACAAATATATTTATTTTTTTAATTGCAGTTTTTAAATCTCGAATAATGCTACAAATAGTGTCATAATTTTTTAAAGGTTTTTAACCCTCTTCTGTTAAGTATTGCATTTTTGTATACAGTAAACGTTTTTGTATACAGTATCCCTATGAACTATATTAATATAAAAAAAAGGAGATGTGGTATGATTGCCAATGAGACAACTATCCACCAAAGTTCAAATGAAGTGAATGTAAGCAATTATAAGCAACCGTGCGGTCTTCAACAATGAGAAAATAACGTATAGTCGGCTATAAAGGACCTCGACATGAAAAATATGAAGAAATTCAATTGAGAAAACTAACGGCCTAATTCATAACAAAATAATTTAAGAAATACAAATATGACCAGTAAACTGTTGGCTCCTGACGAGACAGGCACACAAAGAATGTGGCTGGGTTAAACATGTCTGTGAGCGCTCATCCCTCCCCTAACCTGGGACAGTGGTGTTACAGCACAACATAAGAAATAAACTATAAAAAATCAGTTGAAAAGGGCTTAATTCATCAAATCAATACAAAGCAGAAAACACAGACCGGACATGGCAGGGTATTTATACATCGCTAACAACAAGAAAGACACAAAGTACAGATCTGAGAGTATTCGAAGTTACTGACAGCTAGTTCAAAGCCAATAGCAACTAATAAAAAAAATATGTATCTAAAACTGAAATATCAATCAGGTCACATCCAACATCCAATGGATTTAGTGTAAAGACGTCATTTAGTTCATATGGCTGATTTACAGGAAACGATATGATGTTCTTCAATAAGACACTCTTTTATTTTTGTCATAAATTACCAGTTGTCACAATATTCCTCTGGGTATATATTATAAGCGTTGACCAATATAAAAAGCGATGTATGGTGAATGGTAATTTATCTGAAAAGAAGAAGGAAAAAAACGTTATGTATGAGTACATGAGAAAACAAAAGAATACATTTCGTTAACTGAAATGACCAGCATTAAGTGTTTTTGGTATCTACAAATCTGGTGGCTTAAAAAATTGGAATTAAATGGAATAAATGTTTTTTTTTTTATTTAAAGCTGATCCTTTAAATTTACAAATGCAAATAGTTTACATAATTTTGCTATTTATATCAAAACATTTATATGTTTAGTCTTTATGGTAGATCATTTTCAGTTTACAGATATTTTTTTTTTTTAAATATAGAAATTTGTTTTGAAGGAAAGGTAACACTTCAGTTATTTCATTTTATGATAATTTCATATGTATGTTTATTTCTTTAATTGTGTTAACCAAAAAGAAGATCCGAGAAATGTGATCCCTGTTTCTTACTTTTGCTTTATTTTCAAAGAAAGAATAATGCTAACTACTTATATGTTGTTTTTATAAAATTATTGTATTTTTTACTTCTTACCTGCATGGTTGTACTTTCTTCTTTAATATCCTTATTAAAATATAGAAATTTTTCACACCTGTATTTTATAAAAAGGTTAGGGACGTATATCCTTGTTATACTAACCTATAAAACAGCATAATAAGATTGTTTTGATTAAGTTAGAAGCTCCGACACTCTTTATAATTCATTTTATAATTATTTTTTTAAGTTCATCTAAATACAAATTACACCGTGGCAAAATGTTCTTAAATTATAGTTTATTTGAGAAATTGACTTCACATGAAACTTACAAAATCAGGAGCGGATCAAGGATTTGAAATAGGGTGGTACACACCCTAGAACTTTTTGACGTTTTTCGTGCCAACAAATTATATTCATCCGAATTTAGAAATCTATTTTTGTAAATGAATACAAGTACGTCTGTTTGAATTTTACGCATTCTATTGGTACTATTAGCTTGCACTTTTGGTATCTTCTGTCGCTATTATCTATCTAATATTTGTTCATTTGTAGAAAAATATTCAACATATTGTCTTTCTTCATGTTCTTCTTCCACGTCATCATTGGATTTATAAGTTGTATAAATAGGATTTTGATTGGTCTATTGATTGGTCTTGTATCACTAGCCAGGATAGATAAGTGTATGCTTCCAAGAGGTTTTGAGAAGTTTGACAAAGGTAATTTTTATTATAATCATGTTTTATTGTGGTGTCTTGTTGTATAATTTAAATTAACGTTCCTTTCCCTTGTATGTTAAATAATATCGGTACGATATGTATAGACTGTTTAATGATCTGATCAAAGACTACACCATATCTAAAGGAAATAGTTTTGGATACAAAATAAAATGAAAATTTAAAGTACAACATAAAAAGATAAATTGAAATAAACCAACCCAATTAAATCTTCGACAATTTCACCTGAGGAAAACCGTTCATCTAATTCAATTAACATAAATAATTATTAACAGTACCAGCAGTTTCAATATTGAAAATAGACATAATCAAATTAACAATCCTACATTTATGTTTATACATTATTTTGTAAAAATGAGAGTTGACTATTACAGCTTCACACGAATTAAATAGAATAGACGGGATATGCTTTTACGGTACATATCATATGATCATACGCTTTCAAATATCTGGTCTTTTCTCTGATATTACAACTGAAGAATTGTAGTCAGTTCAGGTTGATTACATTGAGGTCATCCGAACATATTTTCTTCTGACACAAACAAAGCGGAACAAAAACGATGTCGCTCAGTAAGTTAATCATATCTGTAGGTATAAAATTGAATGTAAAAACTACAAAATTATTTAGTTTGACATCAGAAACGGATAAAATGTCAATGCCCCGCCCCTTCTAAATGGCTAAAGATATATAAAACCTGTAATTTTATTTAAATTGAGCGAAAATCATAAGTTTTCAAATCTATTTTTCTCAGGCTATTCAACTTATATTGGTATGTTAATGGTAGAAGTTCATCACAGAAATCCAGTAGCGTCAGTATTTTGCGACGAATTGCTAGTTATCAACAAAGAAACAGGATGTGCTAACGTTTTACTGACACCTGTCAAAGCAAAACGAGGGAAAGTCGAAACAAATAGCCAAAAACACAGACGGATTTGCCGTAAATGGTCTAAGCTATACACACTTATTAACAATCCTTCGGCAAGACGTAATTATGTGGAACAGAACTTTGAATGTTCAATCGATCAAGTTGAAATCGCCATGTAGTTGCACGACCGTGTTGATTAAAGGATTCACAAAGGAGTGGAATTGTTGTAATTTTAAAATGGTCTTTATTTCGAGGATTGTTTACAGTATTCACTAAGATGATGATAGCTTGTAAGAAAATTGGAGAGATACACATACAATTTTCATAGTGAAACGTGGTATTTATCATTTATAATGTTGTTTTTTTTCTATATCATTACTACCTTCGGGTACATATATATCACAATGTTAGAGTAGATCTGATTCTTTAATTCCTCCCCGACCGGGAATGGAACCTTTAGTTTTACTTCTCACTTCTACGACAACACCGCCTAGCATTGCACAGACGCTTTAACTCCTCTAACTATGTATAGCTGATAAAAATCAGCTTTCGTTTCGGGAGGTGTTACCTTCGCGTTACTACTCATCTGTTTAGTATAGCATTTATAGATGCAGGATGCTTTTCTATTTTTTAGAAACATACAATCAATGTATATATATACATGTATATATACGATAAGATGCGGGATTAAATCTAAACAAATAAGAAACCCTACCATGTGTTCATGTGCCTGAATTATATCAGGCACTTCTTCAGTTATTGTCCATCGTAATATCTTAATGGTTTTATCGTGTTAAGTAAATTTGTAGCAGATATTTAAAAGTCTTTTGTATGATTATTCTTTAAAAAAGAAAGGGAATGAAGATACCAAGGGAAAAATCAAAAACCACAATTAAAACAAAATCGGACAAGACCATGGAGGAAGCAAGACAACTCATCTTGCCAAATCGCCCCAGACCAACTCGCTCACTTTTGACCAACTCAGCCCACTTTCTAGGCCTGCAAACTCGCCCCACCAAAACAAAATGATGAGATAGCCCAAGATCCCATCACCTACACCATGGTTGTCTCCTGTACACAGCGTGGAAAGAGTAGGTTTGTAGATATCCACGGGTACATATTCAACGTGAAGGTAAGCACATTTATTTTAGACAAAAATTAGATAACATAATTATCGTACATTGCCGGCAGCATATCAACAACTGGACTCTTGACTCCATGTGGTTGTGTCAACGGTCAAGTCGATAGCTATTGAACTGTATAAAGAAACTCTATGGTGTTGACAATCTAGTATGCCATCAAATTTGTGTTTATGTTTTTGTATCAAGAGCTGACATTTCTCATCTACTACGTTCAGTTTTTATGCTTTGTCTTTAATTGTGTGTTCATTCCAGTGCTTGACATTAATTGATTCTAACAATTTGTTATATATAAAAAAAGAAGATTTGGTATATGTTTGTTTTTAATGTTAATGTTATGCATAGATATGTACATGTTCAAAGACACTGCCAGTTTGTAGTCGATTTATGAGTATAAATATCCCTTTGGTATATTCGCCTCTATTGTTTAATATATCTGCCAATAAAACTATGTCAAACAGCCATATTTAAGTCTATAAAGACCAACCAGGTAATTTGATATTTACCGGATCGTTTTGAATGTGGTAGTTGCAAATACATGTGGATCTTTTTTGAGCATTATTTTGCATCTCTGCCCCTGGCGACAGTTTTTGTGGAAACAATCCTAAAAATGGGCAATAATTTCATCGTAAAGAGAGAGTCGAGTACACCTTTTTATGTTCAGGCGTGTTTGAGTTGACAATTTTGCCTTGAAAACTTATAAAGCAAAACTATTTGATACATCGTCTCGCTTCAGATTCTATTATTTTTTATATTTCAAGGCCACAGGTTGATATGATAACATTAAAAATTCACAGTACTAAAAAATTAAATATATGGGTCAAGTGAATACCTTTCTAATGAGTCATAACAACAGAACAGACGTGTTTGAATAACAATTTTTTACTAAAATTTCTTGACGACAGATTTTCAAGTGGATCTTAAAAATGCATAACTTCAAAAAAGTTCATTTTGAGTGTGTGTTATCTAGGGTTAATAGTCTTAAACCTCTGAAAATGTTTAGTCTGTCCTTCCACAAACTATTTAATTTAATTTTTTAAATGTTTTGAACTTTCGAAAATTCTCCCTGACAACCGATCAGACAATAGTTTTAAATTGAGTAAAGGCTTTAAAGTACATTAGATGATGCCCAATAGCTAGTAGATACATTTGGCTTTTAAAATACAACTGGCATTTAAGGATCTTAATGATGCTATGTGGATAGATTTATCGGTTTTCAAGAGCTAAATTGACAGCGCGTCATCCCTACAATGGCTTCCATTGTTATGATTGTTTAAATTAGGTGGCGTCAGATTAATTTTGGCGAAGTAAAATCCTGACTGCTCATTAATACGGGTACATGATAAACTATTGATTTATTCCTGAAACTCATAAAACAAAACAAAACTCGATACTATATAAACCTGGCTGCGTATCTAAACATCCAAAATTGTCAACATGTAGTAGTTTGTGTATATATATATATGTGTATAATAATGATAGATGAGCGCCTCTATTAAACTGCTAGGACTTCCTGTTGATTGCGTTTGCCAAAACTACTATGTTGACAATTTTGGATAGTAACTAATAAACACTACACTTTTTTGAAGAATTTTCATAAGGTTAAAAAAGCATTCAACAAAAATATGAAAGCCAAGGTATATCAAGGTTAATGTTAATTCTGCACCTCAGTAAGATCTGTAGAGGTAACACTGACACGAGGTGCGATCCCAATTCCAAACCAAAGTTTTAAATTGACACAACGGCACGTATTTCCTCATCTCATTCGGCAGCTCATTCCATAGTTTCCTGCATATCTGAATGAGTGCAGACCATGAGTAGTCGTCCTTACCAAAGGAACAGCAGCTTTATTGTCATTTCTGAAAGAATAACTACAGTTTTTATTTTCGATAAGGTCATTTAAATACAATGTGTATTAATAATTGTGTATTCAGATTTTTAAATGAAAAATAAAACATTTTATAATTTTTTTGCGTTCAAAAAACTTTTTTGGGATTTGCCTTAACGCTTAAACCTTTACATTTGGAAGCCAGAGATGCGTAAATACGCCAAAACGATAGAAGCTATTAGACCAAAAAGGACCTAAACAGAATTGCCAAATACCAACTTTAAACTTAGTAATTTTGATTTAGTTAAAAGCTGTTGGTATTTGCTACAATAATCTTCATGAATAAATCTTAAGGTACGTTCCTGTATTTTCTCTATTTTTCTAGTATGACAATCACCACAAGAATGCCACACAATTAGACAGTCAGTTAAATTTGACATCATAAAGTAAATAGTAAGTCTACCTAATTTCATTAAATCTTTACCAATACGTTTTAAGTACATATTTGAAATATGAGCAGTAAATTTAAGTTGATAAAAACCAAGTAACTGAACTTCTATTTCATAACGTATACTATTGTCATCTAAATTAAAACATATATTTTTTAATTCAGTTATCTTACCGATGGCTATTGCCTGAGACCTTGGGTCGATGCTACTGCTGGTGGAGGTTTCCTTCCCAAGAGTTTCACCAGCCCAGTAGTCAGGACTTCTGTGATTACATGAATTATCAATTACATTGTCATATTTTTAAAGAAACTGTTTACAAAGCTATGAATTATTCGAAATACTAAGGATTTTCTATCCCAGGAATAGTTTACCTTAATTTTATTTGGCAAAACCTTTTGGAATTTGTGGCACTAAATGCTCTTCAACTTCGTACTTAATTTGGACTTTAAAAATTTTTGATACGAGTGTCACTGGCCAGTGAGTCTGTTGTACACGAAAAGCACGTCTGGCGTATAGAATTATTAGCCTGATATTCTGTAAACTCAGAAATTATTGCGTGCATTTATTATTGCGATTTTTTAAGAATGGACAAAAATGCAAGATAAATTATTGCGATTTCAGGAAAATCTAAATACAGATACATGTATCGGATACCAGAATGCGAGTTCTTATTATCTGCATAATTGTATAATGAGCTATTTGACAAAAAGTAAAAATATAATTCAAGAAAATTTTAAAAAGGAAAGATATCCCAATAAACTTATATAGAACCCTTTATATATATCTTTGCAGGTACTTACTTATATCAATACCAGCTTTTACACATTTTTTTCTTGTACTTAAAGTTGTATGGGAGTATAAACGTAAAATGATGGAATTTATTTATACTTTGCCATAATGAAGTATATTGCTATATTGTTCAAAAATATAATAAAAATGATAGGCCACCAAGATTTTTTTCAAGCTACATGTTTTAAAAAATGAAAGATTTTGCATGGATTATACAGAAAACACATTTATGTGAATAAAAGGTAGAAAAAATTAAATGATAGAATTATGAAATAAAATATAGATAACAAAACTCAGTAAAGACCCGTCTGAATTAATTGATAAATTCAACAACACGTACCGTTATCTTGATAATATTTTTTCGTTAAATAATCAAGAATTTTTTCAAAATATACTACCGATTTCGTTACCACAAATTACTTAAAACTTTTACTAAATTCTTCCATAGATACAAAGATTTGGTTTGGAAGTTTGGCTGTACGGGATAGTTCATCCTAATTGGAAATGCACATTTGTGGCTCGACAATCTGTCGTTTGTTTATGTGATTTGTCTATATGCCATTTTGTTTTTCTTTGTTGACATATCTGTTTGTTTTTATAGTGATTAAGATTATAACACAATGTTGACTGCTGTACCCCTATTTTTAAAATTTTTACCTATTATGTCTGTTTGTTTTGTTCACATATTGTTGTCAATATAATGGAATTTTATGAGACTGTCATACAAGTGAGAGGTTTAGCTAGCTATAAAACTAGGTTTAATCCACCATTTTCTACATAAGGAAATGCCTATACCAAGTCAGGAATATGACAGTTGTTTTCCATTCGTTTGATGTGTTTCAGCTTTTGATTTTGATAAGGGACTTTCCGTTTTGAATTTTCCTTGGAGTTCGGTAATTTTGTTATTTTACTTTTTTTGATACCTGTATCTTGACATTGTACAAGGTCATGTTTTTCTCTGACTGTTAATTACGTCTTCACGCTAAATCACTTGAATGTTGGATGTGTACTGATCGATATTTAGTCTAAGATGCATGATTTTTTTATTAGTTGTTATTGGCTTTGATATAGCTGTCGGTAACTGCGAGTACTCTCAGGTCCGTACTTAGTGTCTTTTTTGTTGTGGGGATGTATGATAAATACCTCGCCACGTCCGGTCTGTGTTTTTGTTAGATGTTTTTCTGCTTTGTATTGATCTAATGAGTAAAGCCCTTTTCAACTGATTTTTATATTTTTTCTTGTTGTACTGTTACACCACTGTCCCAGGTTATGGCGAGAGTTTGGCGCCAGCAAACTAGTTAAACCCCGCTACATTCTGCATGTACCTGTTCCAAGTCTGTAATTCACTGGTTGTCGTTTGTTGCTGTATATCATATTTGTTTTTCGTTCATTAATTTGTACATTAATCAGGCCGTTAGTTTTCTCGTTTGAACTGTTTTACATTTGTCATTTCGAGACCTTTTAAAGCTGGTTATGCGGTATGGGTGTTTGCTCATTGTTAAAGGCCGTACGCTGACCTATAGTTGTTTACTTCTATGTCATTTGGTCTCTTGTGGAGAGTTGTCTCATTGGCTATCATACCACATCTTCTTATTTTTATATTGATTGAAAATCTGGATCTATTGTGTTCTGCTATTTTACAATCCAAGATAGCGAAGACACCCATACTACTTTAAATAGCTATATATCAATCTTATAGCGCATTCAGATAATACATATGTCCTCAGTTTCAAAATCAATAAATTATAAGGAAAGCAGTCGAACACTTTCGAGAGGTCCTACGACACAGTACCAATATATTGTTTATTATCAATAGCCTTTTTCCAATAAGATGAGTGGACCCTGTGTTTCCACACTTTCCATGAAAGCTCCACATACGCGTAGATGTTATTTGGTATCGAGAAACCATCGAAGTCCGACTCAAAATATGATTAAACTAGTTCATAGGTCGTCGAGCCATTGACGTTCCATGGACCATCAACTTTATTTGATTTGTATTTTTTTCAATGATTTGGGTTTTAAAATGCTTCTTACTACATGTATCACGTAATCACTAATTATATGCCAAGATCAGCATATCTGTCAACAATCACTGGATAAGCCTCTTTTTTTTTTATTAAAGAAATGCTCTAGAGAAAACCTTTGGTGATTCATGATGGCTTGATAACAACTCATCATGTATTATAGGATAATCTCGTAACCACTAAGACAACTAGTAAAATATTACTAGTAACTCCTGAAACAGTTTGTCAGTTCTGTATTTGTTTGATCATTCTTCGAAAAGTAGAAGACACAAACAGCTGTTTTAATTCCATTAATGTTTTATCAATATTCTCAATCGTTCTATGCTATCGTCTCGGCTTTTAATCGGATTATCTCCTAAAATGGACAGACATTACTAGACTTTCTTATCTTTCCCATTTGATCGACATTTTCCGATCCATTTGATCGATCACCAAGTTTGGGTGGTCATGAATTCAATTTTCAGAAGGTTTCGGCAAGTCCTGTAAAATCAACATGGTCTCTTAATAAGAATATTTAGTTTGGGGATTATACTACTAAAATCACGAATTAATAGAAATTAAATGTAAATTAATTATATCGTTTACCATGTGGCCTTTTTATGGCGTTTATTTGAACCGTAACGCTTATATGGTTACCCTTTCGTTTAATTTATTTTTCTTGTCAAATGTTAAACCTGATGACACCCATGACACTCACTTGTTTTTACTTATGAACGCCCAGAAAACAATGCTTTCATCAGGCATACATACGAAGAGTACAAACCCGTGTCTCCTGACTCACCGCAAAACCAGCAAATTATATCTTTTCGTCTTTGTTGGTTGCCAAGATGGCTATTCCATACCTCATGTGTGTGTCCTGGCTTTTATTTTTTGGTCTCCAAGCAATACCTGTTTGATATCTATTAGGCTGATCATTGCAAACGAAATCGGTTTTCCTGTTGGCTTCCTATTTACACTTTATTCGGTGATTATTTTTCATGAACATGCTGAGCACATTCAAAACCCTTCTTAACTGAAGTCAAATCATAGGTCGTATGTACAAGAATCCAAATAAGGTGGAATTATTGTCCAGGAAGACTATGATGTATTAGCAAAATTGTTATCTCATTTCTACAAAATTGAACTAGACTTCACTTTCAATGTTTTGAAAAGCACACGTACATAGTTTCCAAAATGTTTTACCGGTATTTTGTATTTTGGATTTACACCTTTGATAACTCATTGCTTTTATACTTAACTATTCATATATTCATGAAAAATAATCGGACATACGCGTTTCTTTTTTGCAGAGTATATTTTCCAACTTGACGTCTCAATTGAATACATCAAGATATCTGGAATATGAAATATATCCAAAATACTGTATTCAATGATATATGTCAATTCCGTTGAGGATTAAATTATCATCGTTATTTTCTTTACTGTATTCAATGATATATGTCAATTCCGTTGAGGATTAAATTATCATCGTTATTTTCTTTACTGTATTCAATGATATATGTCTATTCCGTTGAGGGTTAAATATCATCGTTATTTTCTTTTAATATGAGGTACAACATAATCCCTTAACGGAATATATCAAACTGTGAACAAAATATGATACTAGGATATATTCCAATTCAATTTTATAGTTCTGTGACGAAGTTTAATTCCAGGTTTATTGTAGTTCGGTGGTATTTGTTTGCGATTTCATTATAAGAATTAGAATAATTTATCAATATAAAAACTATTCAAATATCCAATTAAACATCAACTAACTGTGGAATACTTTGAAAGGGGTCAAGTTTCGGTTTTAAGTTAGTTTAATGTGTAGGCGATTTAATATTACTGTGTGTATTCATCTTTTACAAATAGAATCTTTTCAAAACATAGGTTCAACGGATCACGTAACCTTGATATCATAGTGCAGTGATCAAGGGGAGATTTGTATTAAGTTTAAATTTCAATTTAGTTTAATGTAAACAGATTGAACGTCCCAATCTAAAACGTCGCAACGGAACCCATCAAGATATGCAAGATAACAATTGTATGAATCCGATTTCATTGATCAAAATAAAAGTTCATATTTAGTATAGTCATAGATAAAATTCTGTTATGTAAAAAACAGTTCATTCTTTTTGTGTTGCCTAATGCCATGATAATTACCCTTTATAGTGATATTTCTTTTACCTAAACAATGTTCATTGTACGCTAAGGATTGAAAACATTTTATTTATAGTAAATTTACAGAAAATCATCCAACAAATAATATTTCCTGTCAGCAATATCATGTTTGATATTGTAATGTTGATACACTCGGGACGAAGAGTTTACTAGCAGTTCTATCATCCCATGCAGTGGTAAAATGTGGTCAACGATACCATGCTCACTATTTAGTAAGTAAGACGCGCGTTTCGTCTACATTAGACTCGTCTGTGGCGCTCGAAACAAAACGATTGCAAAATCAATTCAATTACAAAGTTAAAAGCATTCAAAACCTTTAATTCAAAAATGGTGCGTCGAATCTGGCTGAAGCCTGGACGAAACGTTAACCAGCTGTGGTATTAATCTTGTTAAAACTAATTGATAGTTATGTCTATAAATATCCCGAATTGGATTAAAAAATGAAGTGAAGAATTTGTACATTTTTTTTAATGTTGCATAGAATATAATTTATGGACCGTTAAAATTTAAAATGAAAATTCGAACTCAATCTTTATTTTATGAATATTAACATTCCAACATATCTCCTTGTCTTAGGGAAAGCATAGAAATTAGTATCACCATAAACCCTTTATTCGCCTCATCCTTATTTAATGGATGAAGCTTCTGACTCACAAGTAGCAGCTACATTAGTTTATTTTCTAAATAGGAAAAACAAAATTCGTTTGTTCTGATAACGAAATTTTAAAGATCAACACTTTCCTTCCATGAACATAAAACGGTCGAACTGTTATTCTGTACATGATTAAAGGAAAGAAATGTAATACTGTATATCAAAGTAAATCACAATATGACAGAATGGAGTGTAGTCACAGCTAGTTTGTCCATCTCTCTCTAGACATACATCATCCTAAATATATACACACATTTTGAAGTGATATGAAATTTAAGATTTATTTCTGTTTAATTGTCAAAATAACTATGTAATTAATTATAGATAATCAATCGAATGTTTTTTTTAGATTGTGCAGCTCTTAACCTGGCGTCACATGTGACAATACGTAGTGTAGTGTATCGATCATCTATATATGATACAATCAAGATTTAAAAACTAACTTGTCTGCCTATCATTTCACATAGAAATAAAATAAGTATCTGTCCTAATGATTTGTTCAAATGTTGTATGCAAGTAGAACTAAACATTTCCGATTTATGATTTTATTGATACATCTGGTAGCTACATTTTTAGAAATATTTTATGGCATGGGATAAAATTGAACGACAGACGGTTGACCTAGACATATCGAATGAGGAAGTAAATAAAGCCAGGTAGATCATAAAAGTTACCTAAACTACTCTTTTACAACCAACATATGTATTGTTCTTATAATTCATTGCATAAGTTCATTTTGGATTTTCATATGACATTAACTCAAATCGGATTAACATATCTGTATATGTGTCGGTGATTAAGACACTTCATAGTGGAAACTAACGTAGCAACCGTATAAAGACAAGGACGACATCACTAGGTGAGTTCAAATGTACTACAAAATGAGAGAAGGCATCACAAGTCATACATTGAAAAAAAAACTGCTTGTCTTTAAATCTTCATGGTCAATGTCTTAGATTACATGTCTACGATAAAGCCTTTCCATTTCCCCAGTGTGTATTGTCTTTATATTTATCTTTAAAATAGACAAGATTGAATCCTTTGAAATAAATCAAGGATGGATGAAGCATTTGACTTCTGAGAACTTCGATTTTACCAAACAACGTCTTTAATGAACATTTTAATTATTTGTCATTCAGTTCAAACTTCAACATACTCCTTATTAGACCTTGTCGTGCGCATATTTTACACCTAAAAAATCAAGTGAAGACTTTTCAAAAAATTTTCAGGTTTGAAATACTGTCGATCTGGACCATGTTTTTGTGTGTGTGTTTTTTTTTTGCATATGAAATAACGGCCTGATTTATGTAAAAAAAAAAACGAAAAAAAAATGATATACAGCAATCTATTACAGGCTCCTGATACATGGGACAGGCTAATACAGAATGTGGCGGGCTAAAACATGTTTGCGGACGCCCAACTCTACCCTTAATATCACACAGTGGTGTAAAGGCACAAAATTAGCTAAAATAAATCAGTTGAAAAGGCCTGACTCATCATATTGATATAAAGCACAAAACACTGAAGACACAAAGTACCGATCTGAAAGTACTCGCAGTTATAGAAATCTAGTTCAAAATGTATGTCTGGTTTTTTTTCCGGAGAAATCAGTGTAAGTGATTGATGTGGTCTGTTTTTATCTGTTTTGATGGTGTGGTCTGTTTTAACTGTTTTGATTCGAGCGTCACTGATGAGTCAGTTGTAGACGAAACGCGCGTGTGGCGTACACAATTTTAATATTGGTATGTATGATGAGTTTATTTAATGTACTGTTGTGCATTGTTGGCGATTCCTGGTATTCCTTTTTATTAATCTTATAATGGAATTAAAATTCCGAAACAGATTTACATTCTAGCAAAACTGTTTTCATCAGTATTACATTTTATAAAAGTGATACCGACAGCAGTATTTAACGTTATCTTTAAGATACTGCTAAAATATCTACTATTATTAGCTGTCTGTATGGTTAATTTCCAGTATATTGGTAATAAAGTCAAAGGTCAAAAGAGTTTTACAATTTTATATATTTTATATAAACACATTTTTTTCATTGTCAAAAAAATTTCAGGTCCGATTTTTATAAAATTGTACTGTTTATCACATAGAATCATGTGCAAAACAGTGTAGCCGAGACCATTCATTGGCGCGCTAAAATATCCCATTGACTGGGTCAGATTAGGTGAACGTTCGTCTGTAACGCCCACAACTCACGACGTATTTATTATAAACATTTAAACTATGGGGTTGCCAAAGGGTCTCAGTATATATACGAACTACAGTGCACAGTATATTATATACATATTTTATTTGCGATCATAAAATGTACGAAGTCGTTCATTACTATGTAAATTGGGTCGATTAAAAAAAAAGCTGAATATGTTTCTGTTGCCAAGGGTTTAGTAGTTAGCAGAAAAGATCACCAAACTATACATTTTACCTATTCAAAAACGTAAATGCAAATTTCACAAGGCTTGATCCAAATAGCCTTTTTACTGTCTAATAACTTGCAAATACGAAAAAGACTGGAAAGAAGTATATTTTGTCTATATGTTTTGTGTTTGCACACTTTTTAAAAATGATCATGCATTCGTTCTAAAATAATATTTTTACCAGATAAAAGTTTAAAGATGACATCATTGGACAACGGCAATTGTTATATCGCTTTGACGTCCGAAAAAAAGATAATAATCAACACATCCATTGTAACTTTTAAAGCCAGTTAAATCCTTTTTTGCAGAAAGAACGTCCGATATCATAAAAAATCATTATCAAAACATAACAAAAACACAAGTAAAGAACGTTTAAGTATTCAATATAAATCAAAACACAAAGGTTATTCCTGATTAGTTTTTCGAATTATTTTATTTAGGCGTTGAGACCCTTTGGTGACCCCACAGTTTAAATGTCTATAATAAATACGTCGTGAGTTGTGGGCGTTACAGACGAACGTTCACCTAATCTGACCCAGTCAATGGGATATTTTAGCGCGCCAATGAATGGTCTCGGCTACACTGTTTTGCACATGATTCTAAATGGTTGCAGATTTTTACATCGAATGACCGTGAGGGCATTCCGGTGTATTGTTGCCACAGAGATTTCTACTTACTTTCGTTTTTAACTGGTAACCGATCGTATAAATACGCGGACATTATCGAGTGCAAAATAACATTCATTATCGCTTGTTATATATAAACTTCATCAATAAATATTCATGAAAATAATTTTTAAGAACATAGATAAATGATATGAAAATGTTTTGTCGTGAGAAATATATATGTTACAGTGAATTTGTATAATCAGGGATTATGTAGAATCCCTAAAATTTTTTAGGGATTATGTAGAATCACTGGTCAGTTTGGGGATTATATATAATCACTAAAATTTTCAGGGATTATGTATAATCACTAGAAAAAATGTCAGGGATTATATATAATAACTGAAATGATAAATAAGTTTTATTTTATAGAAAATGAATAAAAGTTAAATAATTAATTCTTAAATAATCATATTAAAACCACATTATAAACATAAATTGTAAAATGTTAAGCACAATATATTAAAATGATAACCTCAATACATTAAAATGTTAGGAACAACATATTTAAAATGTTAGGAACAATAAACTTAAATATTAAGCACAAATTATATTAAAATGTTAAGAACAATATTTCAAAAACAATCATCTATTTTTACAAACTAAATTTGGTTGAACTCGACTATTGCACGTTCACTGTGTATCATCGCCACCGGAAATTGGGTACTAACGAAGCGGAGAGAAATGGAAAAAAAAGTAAACAAGGTAAGAATTCATTCAATTTAAAGCATTTCTACTGATTTGACGAGGGTACCGCTTAAGAAATGATTTTCTGATATATAATTCTTTAAATTATTAGGCCGAAAAGTACAAAATTAAGACAAGATTTTGTGTTATACTCAAGAACTTGCCACTTAGTACCTGAAAATTTCGAGGTCGATCGTCCTCTGTCGCCCCATTGGCAAGATATTCAACTGTTTTTCATTATTTTTCCAGACACTTTTTTAGATTATTATAGTGTGGCATCATATTTACTGAAATTTGTTGTCAAAATGAACGTTTTTAAAAAATATAGACCATAAAAAATAAAGTCTAGGGTACGGCAACTTGCTCATGTTGACAAATTTACTGTATGGCAACTTGTTTTCAACTGTATGGCAACTTGCTAATTTCATAATATTTATTTGCCGTCTTTTTGAAGAAAATAAAGTATTAGGTTCAAATATCTAATTATGCATTTGATAAAAATACAATTCGCTTGACACCATTTAAGATGTATACATGAATATAAGGCTTGAACACAGTCCTATTACATCTTTTACATACTTGATGTATACAATATGAATACGGCATATACAAAAGCTGGCAAATGTTGTAACTTTCGGAAAGGCATGTCACTGTTTAACTGACCTGTTGTTCTGCCCTGAAGTAGCGTTAAATGTTACCCATGTCCGTCCGACCCGTCTCTCCCGTCCGTCCAGAAAGTCCCAATAATTGGTTTCCGTTCTCTAACTTTAGTATGCCTTAACCAAATGTTTTAAAACTTACACGAAATGCTTATCACCACAAAACACAGATCAAGTTATAAATTGGGTAGCGTCACTGTTACCGTTCTTGAGTAATGCCCTTTTATAAATGAAAAAAAGCTAAAGCTGCATGTCGTTTCTGTTCTCAAACTTTAGATTGCCTCAACCAAATGTTTTAACCATACACCATTAGTCAGCATTTGCATATAAGTGATGAACATTTCGGGGATGGGTTGTGGGTGGAGGGAAGGAAGGAGGTAATGGCAGGAGAATTTTTCCGCATTGAATATTTAGAACCATTAAGTGAATGAATTCTCTTTCAACTTTCAGATAAAATGAAATATAAATGAATTATCATTCTCTGCAAAAAAAATGTTGTATTGCTACACCACGGCACCATGTTAAGGGAGGTTTGAGTTAAGCCCGCCTCAATATATATGTGTCTGTCCCTGGTCAGGAACATGTAATATAGCGGCTGTCGTAAGTTGCTGCCTGACATATTTGTTTATGATTTTGTCATAAATCAGGCAATTTTGATACGGTATGGGTTTTGTTCATTGTGAAGTGTATAGTAACCAATAGTTGGTCAAATCTTTTTTATTTGGACTTCGTTTGAAAGTCCTCTCAGTAAAAACCATTCCACGTCTCCTTTTTCAAGTTATTGTCTTATTTGTAAAAGGCAGATACAGCCAATATATTAGAATAAAGAACATTCATTTTCTAAAAAAAACTTCATCTCTATATAGTAAGAAACGAACAAGCTCGGTGGCTAACACTGTTTGAATTTAAAAAAAATATTAACCTTAGATTAATCATTTTTGGAAAGAATGAAAGAAGAATCCGATACAAGGGATACAAATCCGGCTGTGGCTACGGCATAAACTATTTATATAAACTTTCTACTTGAGAATAAAGATGACCTTGTATGAAGTTTTTTTTGGTTGTCATCTTAATATTATATACTTATTAATGCGATTTTGCAAGTAGAATCATGCTATCCGGTTACATTGGCGCCCAACAATAAAAACCCACGGTTAGAAGAAATACCTAGCCAGGTTAAAATATAAATATAAAAAAGATGAAGATATCATCATTATAGAGTATAATGACTCTTGAGGTGGGGGAAGTGTGACGGGATTGCTTCTCTTAGAACATTTAGTAGATACTTAGTCAGCCGTAAGCGGTTGAGCTAAGGAAGTACTTCTTTAGCTCAGTCGGTTAACGCGCTGCCTTGTAACACAGAGGTCCCGGGTTCGAGTCCCAGTGGAGACATGCGATTTTGCAAGTAGAATCATGCTC